TCAGAAGCCTCACCAGCACCTAGAGCAGCAGCCTCAATGCCCGGGTCAGGCGGAAAACACCGGTAACAGTCACCCTCATCACTAATAGTCAGAGCATACATGGCAGCAAGAATAGCATCATAATCAAGATCAAAGATAGCAACCCCCGCCCTAAACAGCTCGCCCCAGCGAGGGTTCTCAGTAGCGTCGGGGAACTGGTGACGCCAAGCGTCGGTCAGGCGGCTGAAGCAGCGCTGGGTGGAGATGCGGACGCCCACACTGCTCACCCATGCGGTCGCCGGTACGTAGGACGTAGGTACAGGGGCCAGTACCCCCACCCCGCTGACGCGCAGTGTACCACTCACGAAGCTGCTGGGGGTAAGGGGTCTCACGAGTGCGCTGCTGCTGCTGCTACTGGCGTTGACCACCACCGGAGCTGACCCTCTGCGTAGAGCCGCCCCGACCAGCTCCACCTCCGCCGCTGCTACCACCACCACCGCCTCCACCTCCACCACCTCCTCTCGCACCGCCACCACCGCCGCCTCCTCCGCCTCCACTGCCGCCACTAGCGCCCCCACCCCCGCCACCACTCCCACCGCCACCCCCACCCCCTCCACCGCCTCCACCGCCCCTACCAGCTCCTCCAGCGCCCTTGCCCCCCTTGCCCTTGCCTGAGCAGCGTCTCCTACTAAGGGCAGACGACGCGCCGACCGACTCAAGACCAACGAGGTCGGCCGCAGCAGCAGAGGCAACAGAGGGCAAGAGGGGGGAGGGGGAGCAACCCTCAAAGACAGGGGTACGAGGGTCACCACGAGAGGCTCCTACAGCGGCTATACTCTTCTCCGCTGGAAGGAGGCGCTCCTCAAGGAGATCAACGGTGAGAGTGGTGGGGCAAATAGAGAGGAAGTGGTCCCTGACCGAGCGAAGGGTGTCAGGGAGCCGGGTGTCTATGTAGTAGAGGGTGATATACATAGGGGGGGGGGGTTCTTGGCGCAGAACTCAGCAGGAATCGCAGCGTGGTAGCGAATGTCACTAGTGCGAAGGTGCGTAACGAGGTCAGCGACTTGTGGGAAAAGCGGCGAGTTCAGGGAAGAGGTACAGCAGTATGAGGCGGCTAAGGGCAGCAGTGGCAAGGGAAGAGTAGCGTGCAACTACAGCGTCGTACAAGGTCTTAGCACTTTTGTACTGACTAAAATGCGCGCGCTCAGCGGTCGGTAAGTGGCGGCACATAGCAAGGCGGGCAGCAGCATCGCGCGTGGCCCACTGTCTGCGAACAGTGGCTTCAGCATCAGCAGCAGGGGCAGGAGGGGCACCAGAAGTGAGGTCAAACAGGAAGGGACTGTCTGCCCTATCGCACTGTAGGAAAAGCTTGCACATCATCTACCCAGACCTCACAGTCAACAGCCCGATCCTCAGCGTCAAAGGTGAGAACACTAGGGGTAGCCATGACAGCATTAGACCAGCAGTGAGAGCAGTGGGGTAGGGTAGTGCAGTGGCAGAGGCGCTACTCTTACGAGGCAGGTGAGGCGGTCCGAGGCAGGCCGGCAGGGACAGGGCTGCGTCTGCAGTGACGGCGGCGTCTCGGCTGCGGGGCGGCTCGGCGGCTCGGTGGCTCAGCGGCTCGGCGGCAAAGGCGGCTCGGCGGCAAGGTCGGCTCGGCAGCTCGGCGGCTCGGCGGTGACGGCGGCTCGGCTGCTCGGTGGGTCGCCTGCCCGGCGGCTCGGCTGCTCGGCGGGGCCGGGAAGGGCGGTGGAGGGGCCGAGGAAGGGCGGCGACGGGACCGCAGAAGGGCGGTGTCGGGGTCGCTGAAGGGCGGCGACGAGGCCGCGGAAGGGCGGCGACGGGGCCGCGTAAGGGCGATAGTGGGGCCGCTGAAGGGCGGCGACGGGGCCGCTGAGGGGCGGCGACGTGGCTGCGGGGGATGGGCGACGGGGCCGCTAAGGGCGGCTACAGGGTCTCGGCTCGGCGGCGACGGGGCCATAGGGGGCGGCGACAGGGCCGTAAGGGGCGGTCGCGGGGCCGTAAGGGGCGGTCGCGGGGCCGTGAGGGGCGGCGACAGGGGCGTTAGGGGCGGTCGCGGGGCCGTAAGGGGCGGTCGCGGGGCCGTGAGGGGCGGCGACGGGGCCGTAAGGGGCAGCGACAGGGCCGTAAGGGGCAGTCGCGGGGCCGTAAGGGGCGGCGACGGGGCCGTAAGGGGCGGCAACGGGGCCGTAAGGGGCGACGACAGGGCCGCTAAGGGGCCACGCGGGCCCTAGAGAGGGCAGTGACAGGGCCTAAGGGGCCGCTAAGGAGGGCGCGACGGATCGCTAAGGGCGAGACACCAGGCGTGCTTCGGGCAGGGGCGGCACGCGCCTCGGGTAAAAAAAAAATCTTGGTGGGCCCTAGGAACAGTTCCCACGAGGGAACCTGCTCGATACCATGAGAAACTTAGAACAAGGATGAATGACATGGAAATAAGAAGTCGCTAGAGCGCAGCGGAAGCTGTAGGAATTAACGACGTCTCTACGGCGGGGCTATTGGTCACTCAGAGGTAGCTCTCCTTGCTTGTAACGTGGTGCCAAAGCAGCGGCCGAGGGTAGGCCGGACACAAGCTTGAGAATTGTGTAATATGAGCAAGGCATTACATTCTGTTATATAGCAAATGCATAGGGCAAACAGTTACCAAGGCGCAACTGTATAACAGTTGCGCTGCGTCGCTTGGGTTGCCTTGTTACAGTCGCGCTGGCGAGACTTTTCAGCTTCGGCGAGGGCGCGGTATGTCAGTAGATCTGCACTGTGGATGCCCGATTGATCCTGGAGAGGGTTACAGGCGCGTTCGCTTGGAAGGTTATGGGCGCATTCTGACCCGCTACTTAACAAGCCCTTTTATCCCAATGGTCTAGTGGTTGGGATTCTGACATGGTATCAGAGCGGTCTCGGGTACGAATCCCGGTGTATGCACATGTAGGCCGGTGCCGCTGTGCTTAGTCATGGGCCTCCCAGTGTGGGGGGATGTCAGTAGATCTGCACTGTGGATGCCCGATTGATCCTGGAGAGGGTTACAGGCACGTTCGCCTGGGGGGTTATGGGCGCACTCTGACCCGCTACTTAACAAGCCCTTTTATCCCAATGGACTAGTGGTTGGGATTCTGACACGGTATCCTGCCACGCCCCGCAGGTCGGTTTCGCATACTATAGACGACGACTCCCGCTGTCGATTCGACTCTTGAGCTGCCACGCGGGTCGCAACCGCTGTGCTCGGTTGCGCCCTGTTGAGTCGCCACCAGGTTCAAATCTCTCGCTATGTCGAGCCCCTGTAAGCACACTTTGAACAATGCACTTATAATAAAAGTATACAAACATATTCTCAACACTCCCCTCCACTGTTATAAGTGTAGAAACGAGGAGAGCTGCAATCTTGCCAGGTTGAAGTTGTGAAGTCCTTGCCAGGGACTTTGCTGTAACTCCTTGAAATTCGTCTTGCCGAGTCGCCCAAAACATTGCGATGGTGCGTTGAAGTTTTCCTCCACGTAGTGCTCCGTGGGAAGTGGCAGGTCGAACCTGCTCCAGGAGATGCTCTTGGTGATGTTCAGGTGGTGGGCCCATTTGTAGAAATTATCTCAGGTTCCAAGGATTGGAACTCCTGCTCGTGATACCATGTTGGAAATAAGAAGTCGCTAGAGTGCAGCGGAAGCTCTAGGAATTAACGACGTCCCTACGGCGGGGCTATTGGTCACGCAGAGGTAGCACTCCTGGCTTGTAACGTGGTGCCAAAGCAGCGGCCGAGGGTAGGCCGGACACAACCTTGAGAATTGTGTAATATGAGCAAGGCATTACGTTCTGTTATATAGCAAATGCATAGGGCAAACAGTTACCAAGGCGCAACTGTATAACAGTTGCGCTGCGTCGCTTGGGTTGCCTTGTTACAGTCGCGCTGGCGAGACTTTTCAGCTTCAGCAAGGGCGCGGTATCCTGCCGCTCCCCGCAGGTCGGTTTCGCGTACTGTAGACGATGACTCCTGCTGTCGATTCGACTCTTGAGCTGCCACGCGGGTCGCAACCGCTGTGCTCGGTTGCGCCCTGTTGACTCGCCCCAGGTTCAAATCCCTCGCTATGGCGAGCCCCTGTAAGCACACTTCGAACAGTGCACTTATAATAAAAGTATACAAACATTTTCTCAACAGAATGAAAGTGATACAAATGTGAAACCCTAGAATTGTGTACCCCTTAATATCTAACCCGCTACAGCCTACAGAGGCTAGATCATATATGTTTGACATGACGGTACAAGGTTTTTATGAGTACAAGGAATACGAAGAGATACAGCTAATAATTGTTTTATTGTTGCTATTGCGGTTCGATACAGTGCTGACTCGGGCAACTGTTTAGTAACAAGTTGTTTGTCCTTGCTCGCGCTGTATTTGTCAGGTCAAAGGTCGCTGACCTTTGACTTTCGCGTAACCTCCAGCGGTTGCTTTTCTTCTCAACCTCCAAGTGTTGACTAGCCGATGCTTCGTTGTGCTTCGCCTCGTTTACGACTTAGTGTTTCGACACACAACTGAAGCGCTTAAGTTACTTGTAATGCTGTTGAATGTATGTTTGCTTGCAGGCACTTACACTTGTCGAGGCAGCATTGTCGACCGCCACTGCACTGAATAATGTCTTTGCGAGCCTCGATGTCAAAACTGTAGGAAGAAGTAAGGATGGTGATTGGCTAACATCATATGGTAGCATCCTCATGATGCCGTGTTCTAAATATACATTTATGGCAAGTTGGTTTGTCATCGAACTGCCTCCTATTGCGAAGTGCAAACAATGGTGGGCCTAGCAAGAAGGTGGTCACTTCTCGGAGGATGGCACACAACATACTTTTAAAAATGAACCATTGCAAGCACTGGCTTGCCCGTCTTGCTGTGCCATCACCTAGTGCCCCGATTGCTGGATGGAACCTGAGTGATGAGGTCAAGGGTATTTGTAGACCCTCTTGATGCGGATTCACTTGAACAGCACCCATGGTGCAGCGAGAGCGACCCCATGGTGAAGCTAGAGAGCCTGCCCCCAGCTCTGCCTGATGCCCCGGTACACAAGGCCCAGCGAGCGACCAATGAGAGCAACGAGGAGGAAGGAGACGGCTCTGCCTGCTGCTGTGATGGCCGCCTTCATGAGCGGAATGAGCAGATCCGATAGCTCCAACGCCACCACCACCAGCAGCTTCCTGTGTGGCAGATAAAAAGGGAGGAGGGAGGGAAGGTGGAAGGCGGGATGAAGGCATGGCAGGAGCAGCCTTAGGAGACTGCCTTACATGCCTCCCCATGCAGCCATCTCAATGGAAAGGTGCCTGCCCGCCCACCACCTTATGCCTGCCCACCACCCCATGCTCGCCCACCACCCATGCCCGCCCAACCCACCCTGGACTTACCATCCTCTCAGCTGTCGCAACTCCCCTCGTCTGCTGCCCACCACGCTGCGCCGCACCAGACCCACCGGCCCACCCACCCTCCCCTGCTGCCCCTGCTCCCCCACCCTCCTCTTCCTCTGCCACCACGGCCGCGTGCCACTCGCTGGCCCCATGCCCCCCTCCTCACCCACCCCAGCCCCCCCCACCTGCACAGCAGCACCCATGCCTGAACCACTGCTGCCCACACCACCGGTGCTGCTCGCCCTGCCTATTCTCAGCAGCCCCTGCAGCCAGAGCAGAGGGCTCCTTGCGGTGGCACTGCAGGCGCTGAGGAAGTCGTTGGGGGATGACGCTGGGGGCAGCTGAGACGCATGCTGCTGCTGCTGTGACAGGGCTGGGCGGGCGGCAAGGGGCATGGGGAGCGGGGAGGAGCAGCGCAGCCCCCAGAGGAGGAAGCGGTCCTCAAAGATGGCCACCACCGATGTCACGTTGCGGCGCAGCCACTTGCGCAGTGCCACCTGGCAGGCGGAAAGGGGGGCCGGGGGCAGGGAGAGGATATTAGGGGAAAGGCGAGCAAGCGGGCGGACCATGAGGATTTGAATGAAGAATTGCTACGCAGCCACTTGCGATGCAGTGCAATGCTTCTAGCAACAAACCCCTTCGGAGAACACAGCCCGCCACAAGGAGCACTCATGAAAGACAATCGTGCGAGGGGGCAGAGAATTGAGCAGGCGAGCAGGTGGTGAGGAGGGAAGGATCAAAGGGGGGGAGTAGAGGGGTTTGTGGGAGGGAGCGTGGGCGAGTCAAATGGTGTCACGAGAATGCGCCCACACCAGCAACTACTCACCTCATTCCTGAATTTCTCGAATCGCCGAGAGGACCGATACTCCTCCCGGAACAGGGATAGCACATTACCCATGCTCACTCCCCCCTCGCTGCTGCTGCCTCCCCTGCCCTGTCCAGCAACCCTCAACCCCTCCCCGTCCACCTCCCACCCTCCAATCCCCCCTTGCGACTCTCTCAACCCCACCATCCCCGTCCCCCTGCTGCCACCACTGTAGCCCCCTCCAAGCGAGTCAAAAGAGTCAAGCGAGTCAAGGGCAGGCAGGGAGAGGCCCATCCACTGGCGGCTGTCCAATCTGCTGGCCACCTCTATCACGGCTACTAGCGCCGCCTCTGCCATCTCCACCACCAGATCGTCCAGCACCACACGTGCTATGCGACTGGGGAAGGCGGAGAGAGGTGGGGAAGAGGGGGAGGGAGAGGGGCATGACAGGGTGCTGGGGGAAGTGGGGGACGAAGCCCACTTGTGCTGCCTCTGCCAAATCCACCACCACATGTGCTATGCGATTGGAGGCAGAGGGAAAACGAGGGGCTGCGAGGACGGGGAGGGGGTGAGGATGATCTGCGAGAAATGGGTGTCATAAGCAATGGGACCATCACAGCAAGCACCAAACACCGCAGCTGCGGAGTGGGGGACATGCCACAAGTGTGGCATCGTCGACACAGGAGGTGGTGACATGACATGGCACGGGAAACAGGGTCGCATGTGGCGTCCCCACTCCACTACCACCACCAGATATCCCACAGCGGACAGCAATTACACTTGGCGTAAACAGGGAGGAGGAGGGGACCAAAACATCCCGCTCGGCACGACATGTGGGCGTTGCTAGTTGAGCCCGCGCGGCTGCCGAAAAAGCCAACGGCGCTACAGCCTATCAAGATGGCACTCCATTACCAGAAGTCTCACCTGTCAGACCCGCCGTCGTCATGCCGGGTGAACCGGAGGTGGTCCAGCAGGTGGCAGTACAGTGCCCATCTCCCATCCTCCACTGCCCCCCTCACCACCTCCCCTTGAACCCACCACTCCCTCCCCGCCCACTCCCCCACTGCAACCCCGTCTGCCTCGCTACCGCCTCCTCTCAACCCCTCCTGCTCGCCACCACTCCCCCACCCAACTGCATCACCAACGGCAGCAGCAGCACCACTCGCCCCTGCTGCCACCTCGCCCCCTCGCTCTCCTCTTCCCCGCCCGCTGCTGCCCATCAGTTGCTGCTGCCACTTGCTGGCTGACGACAGCACTGCCCGGCCAATCACGTCCGTGCAATACGTGGACCAGTCCTGTTGAGACAGCTGGCGCGCCTTGCTGTCGATCGCACCGGCCTGGGAGGGGGAGTGAGGGGTGGAGGAAGGGAAGGCAGCGATTGGTGGAGGAAGCACGGTCAAGGGGATGAGGCGATTGTGCACGACTCCGTGCATAGCATGCTGCCCATGGATGGAAAAAGGACCTACCTCGGCACGGCAACAAGAGCCTGTATTCTCAGACCCTGCATGCTCAGACCCTGCATTCTCAGACCCTGCATGCTCAGGGCCTGCAGGCTCAGGGCCTACCTGGGCAAGCAGGGCCTGAGTGCAGACGTCCACCAGCTGCCATCTCGCCTCCGCAGTCAGCCCCTGCAGCAGCAGCACTGCCGCCGACGGCACCAGCATCTCCTCGCTGCTGCCTCCCCCTATGCCTTCCCCCGTGCCTCCCCCTGTGCTGCCCCGCGCACTGCTGCCTGCCCCGCTGCTCGCACCCCTGCTGCGCCAGTCTCTGCTCGCTTTGCTCTGCTGCCGTCTCCTCTCCTCCGGGCTGCCAACCCCATCACTCCCATCGCCCATACCGCGCCTATCCCCTCCTGCTCGCCCCGGCACCTCCCACACAAGCACCTCTTCCGCCATCGCCTGCTCCCCGCCCCCTCCATCCCCTCTCCGCGCATTCTCTCCCGCCCCGTCCCCGCGTTCCCCTCCGCCTCGCCCCCACAACAGAGCCTCTTCACCCGCCTGTTCCACTAGCTCTTCCGCCGCTCCCCTCGCCCCGTCGCCCCACCACCCCCGCGCGCTCACTCTCACTGCCCCTCCCCGCCTCACTGCAGGTCCGCGCAGTCCCCCTAAAGCCGCGCTTCTCCGCCCCATGTCCGCTTCCCCTCGCCCGAGCGGCTTTATTCCGCTCCGCGCGCCACCAGTCTCCCCTCGCCGCCCTCCGCTGCTTTGAAACCGTCGCGACGTTTCAATCGAGGCTGCTTGTAACGAGCTATCACGCCTAGTGTTCTCTAATAATCGCCCGTCGCCAAGCCATCGCCTGTCGCAGACCCATCGGTTGTCGCTCGTCCGTCGCCTGTCGCACAACCATCGCCCGTTGCCTCTTAACCCCTCCATCCAATTCGGCCCCTCTCTCCACTCTCCCGCGCACCCAATTTCCGCCTCAACCATCCTCCGCGGCCGCCGCCGCGCTACCGCAAGCCCGCTGCTGGCGGCAGCAAGGCCGGGCGGAACGGGGAGACAGCGGTGGGCGCAGTGCGCCGCGGAAAGCAGATGCGTGCCATGGGCAGAGCGAGGCTCGCACGGGCGGGAGGATTTTGGAGGGCGAAAACGGGGCTGGGTCGCGTGCGACACAGATGGTTGAGGCAATGCGAGAGCATGCGACGAGGAGGCGACGGGGAAGAGCGCGCCGGATGCGAGAGCATGTGACGAGAAGGCCATGGACTTGACTAACAGGGCAGGGGACAAGGAAGGATGACTGGAGATATCAATATCGCCGAATGTCGTGCAAGGAATTTCATTTCCTTGCTGGAGCTACTCTGCATCGCGTACAACCCGTATCCCTGGGGATACACGGGATGGGGATTTGTTATGAGTTGTACGAAAGAAGAGTGAGCAGTATTCAATAACGCGGAAGTGATTACAAACTACTGAGCAAACAACAAGACCTAGGCATAATATAGCGAAGCTAGCTAGGCCGAGGTCGCGGAGTCGCGCGAAGGTTAGGTGCAGGTTTGGGGTTGGGAAACCCGAAGGTTGGGGCGGGGGACGTTTGGAAGACGAAGTCGACGGACCGAGCCTGAACTCCGAAAGTTGGAAATGTATGCGTAAGGAGTGCCTCGGTAAGGAACTAGCAAAATTCCTTACACTACCCCACCCCCCTTAAAGCTCCGGTATACATTTGAAAGGAGGGGTTCAAAATCCTTAGGAACTTGAAAAGTTGCCCCAGAACTTTGAGACAAACTTACAAACCCTAAACCCTACAGACAAATGTATACTGCCTCTTCAAGAAAGGTGGTCAATATCAGGCACGCGTCGGTGGGAAAGATAATCCCGAAACATCGAGTGGCCTTATATTGAGTCAGCCGGGACCCACGTCTCATCTTCGTTTGTGCGATCCACCCAACGGAGAAGGAAGTCGACGTGGCGTCCAGCCGGGGTCGCACGGATGCGATGATGTAAAATCTTACATGGTTGAAGCGTCGGATCTGCCACAGGACGGACACTTGGCGCGATGTTGGGTCGAGTGACGTCGGACGGCTGCGGAACCACGCATTGGCGAAGTATACTGACGTAGAAGGCATCGTGGATCTTCCACTCGTCCGGTAGTAGAAGTTTCGCCGTGACCGGGGTCAACATCCGGATGATGCGGAAAGGTCCCACGTAGCAGGGACGCAATTTTACAGGCTGGGGCAGTTGGAGATTCTTCGTGTCCAGGAGGACCATCTGCATGTCACGGAAGGGTAAATTCCGTCGATGTCGGTCGGCGTAGCTGCTGGCGGCAGTATTAGCCTTGCGTATGAATTCCACTGCCTTGTCGCGTGCTGCTTGAAGTTTCGAAACAAACTCCTGCGACCGTGGTACCAGATTTTCGGGAGTCGTTGAAGAGGGTACTCCCGGATCCATCCCGTAATTGAGGTAGAACGGCGATTGATTGGTCGTTGCAGACGGGGCGTTGTTGTACGCAAATTCGAGCATGGGAAGCGAATCTTCCCACTTGGTGATGTCAGGGCAGTTCGTGCGAATCAGCTACTCCATCGTTTGATTTGTCCTCTCGGTCTGCCCGTCGGTTTGCGGGTGGTATGATGACGAAAACTGCAGGCGGGTGCCGTACTCTGCCCATGTCTCCTATCAGAACTTCGACGTAAATTTCGGATCTCGATCGCTGATGATCGCCGAAGGTAACCCATGCAGTCGCACGACGGTCGAGATAAAGAGGTTCGCTGTTTCTTCGGCTGTGATCGTCGTGGGGCATGGTGCGAAATGCCCCATTTTCGTTAAACTGTCGATGACGACTAGCACCGAATCGTTGCCACTAGCGCCAGCTGGCAACCCGGTGACAAAGTCCATTGTCACATGTTGCCACGATCGTTCGAGTGGCTCGAGAGGTTGCAGCAATCCAGCTGGGCGTTGACGTGATGATTTCATTGTTTAGCAGGTCGGCAGGCGGACACGTAGCTGCACGTCCGACGCCATGTGGGGCCAGTAGTGATTCCGCTGCAGCAGCTTCAAGGTTTTAACGACGCCGAAATGCCCGAAGAGATTGGAGTCGTGTACCTCCTGCATCAGCAATTCTCGTAAGGGTCAGTAGGAAGCTACCCAAACTCGGTTGGTACCGACTTTTAGGTAATAGCTCCCGTGCGCCGTGGTGACCCGTTGGTATTGGTTGGTCCTGAAAAACCTCTCGGTCTTGTAGCCATGCTTGAAGGGTCGTGCCGATAAAGGGGTAGAATGGGCGATTAGTACTGCTGCGGTCTGCATTGATGGGCGGGTCAGGGCATCGGCGATGTTGTTGGCGCCCTTTTTGAACGTGATGGTGTAGCTGAAGTTTGACTCGAGGTAGTCGAGCCACCGGATTTGTCGCGGGTTGAGCTGTGGTTGGCTGCATATGTACTATAATGACTTGTGGTCTGTCTTGATCCTGACGTCAGCTCCCGTGAGGTAACAGCGCCAGGTACGAAACGCATGCACGATGGCGAACATTTCTTTGTCGTGTGCAGGGTAGTTGCGCTCGGGCGACTGCATTTTTCTTGACTCGTACGCGATGGTTTGCAGCCCGTTGCCAAAGTCCTGCACCAGGACGTCGCCGACAGCGAAATCGCTGGCGTCCGTCACGACTTCAAATGGTCGAGATGTGTCAGAATATAATGCTTGTCTAGCCTGTAGTGGGGTACTTGTGAAGATTAGAACGAGGAATAAGTGCATTGAGCAGCATGAGGAGTACAACTACTAAAAACCTAAAGTGTTGTACCCTATATAAGCTACCCCACTACAGCCTACACAGACTATAGCAAAAGAGTTTGACACACCCCCATAGGCAAAGTGGGGGAGAACAAGGGGTCACATGACCGGTCAAGCAAAGCAAGGCAAGGCAAGCTCAGGGTGGATCACAACGTCACCACACATTCTGAGCACAAGTTCAAGGCCAGAAGGCCGGTTCACATGCATGGTTACACATATATATATAACGCTAAACAAGCAAGAGCAGGTATATATATATGTAACAGTACAAGCAAGGTCAAGAAGTGAGCAAGTGAGGCAAGGTAGGTACAAGAACTAGCAGAGTACAGAAGCGCTGATGATCACAAGGCGCGAGTGCCTTGGTGAAGATATCAGCAGTGTTGGCCTCAGAGGCCACGTAAGCAAGGCGCAGCTGACCACGCTGCTGTAGCTTACGAGCTAGGAAGTAGCAAAGAGCGATGTGCTTTGTTCTATGCTCCAGTCTGTGCTTCCGACACAAGGCCAGCATGGCCTTGTTGTCTACATACAGACTTGGAGGAGAACGAGGCGGCTCTCGCAGGTCGGTCAGCAGGTAGGTGAGCCAGCGTAGCTCCTGTGCAGCCATGACCCCTGCGTAGATTTCAGCCTCACAACTGGAGCCGAGAACAGAAGACGAGCGGGTAGACCGCTACGAAACAGAGCCGGAACCAAGGCTGAAGGTGTAGCCCTGTGACGACCGCTGCGTAGCCTGGTCGTCAGCCCAAGAAGCGTCTGCATGACCAGTGAGGACCACTGGACTCCGCCCTCCAAGCACAAGCCCCATGCCCGACGTACTGCACAAGTAGCGCAACACCCTCTTCGCTGCAGCCATGTGCTCTGGTCTGTGTCTCCCCAAGAGGAACATAGCGTGCCAGAATGCTAAGAGGTCAGCGTTTATGTGCAGCAGTACCCGAAGAGTGGTCATCTTCGGGGTGGGAGAGAAGGTCTGAAAGTAGACAACTCCCTGCCGCTGACTGAAGCCACGAGCCACGTAACGCGCCTTGAAGACAGGCGGAGAACTCGGCGGCTGCTTCACCCTGAAAATCCACATGCCACTGACGATGTTCGCCCCAGGCGGGGGAACCTCGTCAACGTAGGTGCCTGTGGACTTCAAGGAAGCCATCTCTGCGTCCATGGCTGCCTGCCACTGAGAGGAGTAGGGACCCTCTATCGCCTCCGCGTAAGAGCGCGGAGTCGGGATGTTTGGTGCATCTGGGTCTCCCTCAGGGGCAAGTAGCATGGACACGAGATGAGGTGAAGCAGCCGCAAGACACTTGAACTCCTCTTGCCTATCCTCAAAGACGTCCGTGCCAAGAGCACACTCACCCCCGACGGACGTAGGACAAACAAACTCATACTCAGCAACAAGACTAGCAGCGTAGTCTAGACGACAGCGAGCAGCGAATTCGACAAGCTCAGCAACTAGGGCAGACGCAGCAGTGGACTCAAAGGAAGGGTCAGTGACGACAGTAGCAAGGAGACGCGTGACAGTACGACTTGCAGCACAAAGGGAGTCCGATTCTGGGTCAGCGAGAGCAGGAAGAGAGGACTTAGGAGGAGAAGGCAAAGAGGCACGCAGCGGAGCAGTGGAAGGACGCAGAGACATCCGGTGCGTGCCGGGGACAGGGGGAAGACGCTAACGCAAGCCACGACCACTAGTGCGAGCAGCACGGACAGGCGACGTAGGACGAGACGCAGGCTCATGACGCTCAGCAAGACCTCCAGTAGGACCAGTGTAGGGAGAAGGAGCAGGTAGAGGAAAAGGAGGCAGTAACTGTGACTCGGACTGAACAGGTGGTGGACACTCTAAGGGAGGAGCTGGCCTAGCAGAGGGCGGAAGACCAAGAACTTGCTCAAGGAGCAGAACGAAGTACGGCCGCGGCCGCTCAGCACCA